CACACATACACTCACACACACACATTCACACACATATACACACAATCACACATACCACACACACATTCACACACATTTACACACATATACACACAATCACACATACCACACACATTCACACAGAATCACACACATTCACACAGACTCACACAGACACACTCACAGTCACACAGACACACACATTCACACACATATACACACATTCACACATACCACACACATTCACACACATATACACACATTTACACACATATACACACATTCACACATACCACACACATTCACACACATTTACACACATATACACACATTCACACACATATACACATACATTAACATATACCAAACACACATTCACACACACACAATCACACATAACACACACATTCACACAGAATCACACACACACACTCACAGTCACACAGACTCACACACACACACTCACACACACAATACTCACATTCACACATACTGACATACACGTATTCACATGCACATAAGCACACATACATGCACAAACATATATATACATCACAAACACATACATACACTAACATAAGCATACACATGCACACACAAACACACACATACACTCACTCACACAGACTCACACACTCAATACGCACATTCACACACATATAAACACACGTAGGTGCACACACACAAACACACATACATACATACATACATACATACACGAACACATACATATACTAACACACACATACACATGCATACACAAACACATGTACAGACACACAGACACAGAGATACAGTAACATATGCACAAACAGGATACATTCATAAACACGAACACACACACCAATCTTTGTAAATCAGGTGGTCTTTCTAGTCCCTTCCAGTTGCTGCTCTCAGTGCACTCGGTAAAACTATTTTACAAGACACATATCCTCCTGGGGCTGGAGACGTGACTCAGCAATTAAGAGCACTGGCTGGTCTTCCAGAGGACACTGGTTCAAGTCCCAGCACCCACATGGTGGCTCACAACCTCTGTAACTTGTCTCAGAGGATCTGATGCCCTTTTCTGATCTCCTCAGGCATCAGGCATGCGTGTGGAACACACACACACACAGACACGCACAGAGAGACACACACAGGCAAAACACCCACACAGAGGACATTTTAAAAACTAAAATAAGTCTGGGTGTGTGAGGCCAGGTGGTGGTAGCGCACGCCTTTAATCCCAGCACCTGGGAGGCAGAGGTAGGCGGATTTCTGAGTTCGAGGCCAGCCTGGTCTACAGAGTGAGTTCCAGGACAGCCAGGGCTACACAGAGAAACCCTGTCTCGAAAAACAAAAACAAAAACAAAACAAACAAACAAAAAAGACTGGGTGTGGTTGTGTCACCTCTAAACATAGCACTCAGGAGGAAGAGGCAGGTGAATCTCTGAGTTTGAGGCCATCCGGGTCTACAGAGTGAGTTCCAGGACAGCCAGGGCTACACAGAGAAACCCTGTCTCAAACATATATGCATGTAGATAGAGAGAGTATTTATACACATGCATTATGTTATGTATGCATGGCACAGGTCTATAATCCCAGAAAACAGGGCGTGAATGACAAGGATCTAAAGGTTATAACTCTCCAGGGAGTTCCGGGCCAGCCTGGGATACATGAGACCTTGCCCTCCCCGCCTCCAAAAAAAATATTCCAGTAAAAATTTAGATTATCCACAAGCTCCAGGTGGCAGTATTGTCCCCCCATCCCAGGTTGGTCATTCTTGAAAACTTGGAACTAGAGACTACGAAAAGTCAGAACCAGGCTTAAGGTAAACTGTGATTTTCCCACAGGCAACAACAGCGTGTCTTCTCGGGATTTCCAACAGAGGGCGGCAGAGAGCCATGGAGCAGCCTACATAGCTGGGCATTTTAATATCACAGGTACAGGCTTAGCCACACCCTGGATTCTACAGACAATGCCTAGGGTGCTTGCTGTGTCCACAGTGCAAGCGAGGCATGCTGGCTCGCTGAAGCCACCCAAGGAAGATCAACTCGGGGACACTGTGCCCACGCAGGAGATTGTCATGGGGCTGCCACCTACATAGATGCGGCTACCTCAGGGCTCCTGATAGCTATGTACATAGATTGCCAAGTACCAGATGACGTCAGTAAGCACTTTGAGCAGAAGGGATGGAAGAGAGGGTTCAGGCTGTCAACCCCGCTCCTGTATGTACCCCCAGCCTCTAGCCCTAGCTACATTCCTGCACCAATAAAGGGTCCTGCCTGTGGCCTGGTTGACCCTCAACCTGGATCCACCCAGGTCCTGGATGGAGACACCGTCCAGCCTCAACCTCTGTATTGTGTGTGTGCGCGCACACATGTGCACACAGTGTATAGACACAGTGTGCATGCCCACGTGCGCACATGTCGGTGGATGTCAGAGCTGACTGCTGAGTGTCCTCCTCTGTTGCCCTACTGTTTTGAGATGGGGTCCCACTGGACTGGACTTGCCTTTGCTGCTAGGCTGGTAGGCCAGCAAGCTCTCAGGATCTGCCTGCCTGCCACTCCCAATTTGGGTTACAGGCATTCGCAGCCGTGCCTGCCTTTTTCGTGTGCACTGGGGACTGAAACCCAGCTTCACGTGTGTCCAAAGCAAGAGCTCTGAGCCACTGAACCGTTTTCTCAGGCCCCTCACCTTTGTTCTTCACCAAATGGGCACCCTAGTTTTTTACTATCTGCTGGAGGGATGGGTCATGCCTATAATCAATCCAGCATTTGGGATACTGAGGCAGGAGGACTGCTGAGAGTTTGTGGTCAGTTGGGCTACAGAGTGCATCCAAAGTCACCTTACGATATAGAGTAAGGTATCAGGACCCTATCGCAAAGCAAAACAAGACCCCAGCATCTCCGTGAAGCTTCTGTGTGTACTAATGAAGGAAGACAGCCTTAAACAAGATACATAAAACATGTGGTACAGTGGCAACTGCCTTTGACTCTTTTCTTGCAATAAAATGCCTTGACAAGGCAGATGGGTTTTGTTTGGTTTCAGACCCTGGGACAAGGGACTGAGGTCCATATTTTACATATCAAAGCAGACCTGGCCTCCAGGTTTTCCCAGCATCCCTCAGTCCTTAACTAGCATACCCTGCCCCCAACCCTAAACTTTGCAGCCCCAGGGGCTGGGCTGCCTTTGATATCATGAATTTGGCTTGAATTGGCTCATTTTACTGGAGAAATAACCTATTAGTGTTCTCCTGGTTCACGGTTTGAGGGTACAGTCCCACATGGAGGAAAAGTCCAGGTGAGAGGATCCTGAAGTAGTTGCTCACATTACGTCCACAACAGGAAGCAGAGAAAGATGAGGGCAAGCTGCCACTTAGCTCCTTCCTCTAACGGTTCCAACCGAAGCGAGCAGATCTTCCGGCTTCAGTTAAAGAGATTGAGCTAATCCCCACAGGCACGCCCGGAGGTGAGTCTCCTGGCTGACCCCAGATGTGGCCAAGTTGACAACCAACCACAACTCTTAGGGACACCACAGGCACACTCCTGCCTGTGTTTTTCTTACCATCATGCTTAATTTTGGGAGTCCTTTACTAAGTGACTTGGGGAGATGCCTAAACATGAGTTCGGGTTCCCAGCACCTTCTAAAGTTGGGGATAGCAACGCATGCCTGTAACCCCTGATCCTGGTGGGATGGAAACAGGAGAATCCCAGGGACTCTTGGATGGCTGGTTGCTCTAACTACAGTGAGGAGCTGCATACTCCTAGAGCCACAGCCCTGTGGGGTTGAGACTGGAGGAGCTAGGGGCTGGCTGGCCACCAGAATTGTCCGCGTTTACTGAGAGGGCTCCCAGCTCAGCCAATCCAGCAGGAACCCTGGAGCACCAGGCTTGGTGAGAGACTGTCTCAAGTAATAATAGTAATGACAATTAATAATAACACCAATAATATGCAGTTGAACATGACATTGTTATGTTAACCCCATGCTCAAATTCCTTCCTTGTGGTGACTAATCAATGTCTGGCCCTACAGGGCCAGTGACAAATCGAGGCATTGGTCCTCCAAAATTTTTTTTAATTATTTATTTTATGTATATGAGTACACTGTCGCTGTCTTCAGACACACCAGAAGAGGGCATCGGATCCCATTACAGATGGTTGTGAGCCACCATGTGGTTGCTGGGAATTGAACTCAAGACCTCTGCAAGAGCAGTCGGTGCTCTTAACCACTGAGTCATCTCTCCATCCCTTCATCAAAGTTTATCGGGGGAACCAGAGAGTTTATTAGGCTTAGTCACGGAGCGAGGGTGAGGGGTTACAAGCAGGAGGAGTCCTACTGGAAGGTATGCACACAGTAGGGATAACTGCATGCATACATGGAGCTCCCTCCCTAGTCTTTTCCTGGGCTGCATACATCTACCCAGTCCCTGACACAGGTGAGTTAGGGCAGAGTTGTAAACAACTGCCTGGGAAGAGTGGCTGGACCCTCAGCTGAGGTGGCACAGCCTCCTCATCCCCCTTCTTCTAGGGAACTCAAAGGTCACCAAGCCCATCGGTGGTGGCCTTTTGCCAGTGGCACAGCAGAGCTTCTGGAGAGGACAGGGCTTAGAGGACAGTCTTGGACCTCACCTCTGTCACATACAGGCCCTTTCATTCGTGAGCACATCTGCTTACATCTGCAGACACATCTCCACTCCCAGGCGCACCTGAGCACACAATACAGGCACACCTGCTTACACACACGGACACACCTGAACACATAGGCACACCTGCATATAGCACACATACTGGGTAAGCACACCTGCAAACACACATACACACACACACACACATGCACACACACTCTTTTTTCTTTTTTTTTTTTTAACTGAGACAGGATTTCTCTCTGTAGCAATGGCTATTCTGGAACTCACTCTGTAGACCAGGCTGGCCTCAAACTCAGATCTGCCTGCCTCTGCCTCCTGAGTGATGGGACTGAAGTGTGTGCCACCACTGCCTGACATGTGTTTTGTTTTCGGGGGGGAGGGGTCTTTTTTGTTTAGTCTTTTTTTTTTTTTTTTTGGAGCTGAGGCAAGAGCTGTATCACTGAGCTAAATCCCCAACCTCCACCTCTAATTTTCAACAAAAACCCTGACTCTAGTTGATTTTAAAACAAAATAGCATATCAGCTGGTAGCCAGAATTAAGGGTGGGGTAAATTTTTAAAGGGGACAGAGACATCTAAGAATGTGCTAGTTTTTTTGTTTCTTTTGGAGCAGGGTGGTACTAGGAACTGAACTCAGGGCTACCCACACTAAGCGTGCACAATACCACTCAGCCAGTCTCACCCACCCAAGCTTCTTTCCACATAAGGTCAGAGAATCCTCATTAAAACGGAGACAAAAGGAGTGGCCAAAAGACTAAAAAGCCAAGAAGCCAAGAAGCAAAAAGAACCTGTTATCCTCGGTGCCCACAGAGGTTAGGAATCCAAGTCATTTCAGCATCCAGAAACAGACACTGTAGGTGGTAGGTTTGTTGTGGAGTCATGTCCTACGGCGATCAAAACACCAGGGGGCGCTGCCCCGGACCCAAAGGCCTGAGAGGGTTACTATTCAGGCCTAGGTAGGTCAGCCTCTGACCACAGCGGTCTCTGTGTAAGAGGGGTGTGTAAGAGGAAGGTATCCTCGGATCAGGAGTGATTATCATCATTTAGGGATGTAAACTAGAGGGATACCCACACCCCCAAAGCCTAGATTCAGAGAGGTTTAACAAAAGAAAGCAAACCCCAGTCTTGACTAAGAGTAAAGCTGAATTTAGGAAACAGGACCAGAATGAAGGGGTGGGGACTAAGCCACTTGATATCCACAGAACCTGGGCCGAGTCTTGGGTTGGGGATCCCAGAACTGTGCTAAGAATTTAATCGGGCCAAACCAATGAAGATGCTAGGACTTCTGTCGGCATTAACCAAACGCTACCACGCACTGGAGCCCTCGGCGATCCAAGAACAAAGACTGAGTCAGATGCCACAGGTGGTACGAGTGTCCACCAAGAGGCGGAGTCAGGTGGGAGACACAGAGTGAAGCCTAGGCTTTCGGTCCCGGGTCCTGCTCAGGCTCGGTGCCCGGCACCCCTCGTATGTCCGGCAGCAGGCGACAGCCAGCCACGATATCCAGGCGCTCGGCGAGCGCGCAGAGGTCCCCGCGCGCCAGGCGCACGCTGTGGGCGGCCGCCAGTCCGGTGGCCTGGGCAGCCGCCAGCCTCCCGGCCAGGGCCGCCACATCGCGACCCGCACGGCGGTACACGCCGCTCACCGCAGCCGCTACGTCGTGGTCTAGGCGCGTCTGGCTTTCAGCCAACCGGAGCTGCAGCAGCGAGCGCGCAGGCGCTACGGCAGGGGTCTCCTCGGTGCCCCACGTCTCCACCGCATCGCGCTGCACCACGAGCGGGGGCAGGTCTCCCGGCGCGACCGTGGGCTCGGGCTCCGGCTCTGAGTCGGTCTCCGCCGCCTCCCCGGCCACACGCAGCCCCGTGGGGCGGCCGCGCGTCGGGCCCGAGGGACCCAGGTATAGCTCCTCCTCCTCGGACGAGGATGCAGACAGCTCCGAGTCGGTCTCCGCCGCTTCCCCGGGTACCACTGTCCCCGGCCTTCGCCGCCGACCCTGGGACGACGCCATGGCGCGGAGCTGGAGAAGAGGAGTTGAGCGGAGGTGAGGTCCTGAGTCCCAGCGCCTTCACCGCCACCCCATCCAGCCCTGGCTCGGCCTCAGTTTCCTCTGGTGTCCACATGGGTTGGAATTGTGCATCTCTGTAGCATTCGTGTGCACACCGGGGAAACCGAGGACCGGCCAGGCAAAGCCTTGGAACTAGGTCCCGCGAGATGGCTCAGATGGGGAAAGGCACTTGCAGCCAAGCCTGACACCAAGAGTTCGTTCGACCCCTGGGACCCAGACGGTGGAAGGAGCGCGCTGAGGCCCGTAAAGTTGTCCTCTGAGTACAACACGCGTGCTGTGGGACGCACCCGCACAAACACATTAAATAATATAAAATAGCAAGGTCTTTAATTCCCGGCACCAGAGGCAGGAAGATCTCTGTGAGTTCGAGATCAGCCTGATTTACAATAGTGCCAGGCCATCCAGCACGACATACATGTTGAGACATACATTGTCTCAAAATAATACTGAGTTTTAATAATAATAATAATAATAATAAGTTTTAAAAGCTTTGTAACCAAGAGTTCCCAGAGTCCGCCAGCACAGGCCACACCCTCCACTGTCCTCCAGCCCAGCTAGCACTAGGCCGCATCGGCACCAGGACAAACACCGAAAGGACGACCGCCCGAGGGGACACTTAACAAGAGCCACCGACACTAGAGTCCCGGAAAGCCATACCCGGTCTCCGAAGCTCTGAGCCCAAGGGATCCGCCGCCTGGCGGAAGTGAGGCGTTCGCTCCGCCGAGCGTCACGTGAATCGAGGTCTGGCCAATAGGAAAGCGGTTAGACCAGTCGCTTCCGTGTTGTGGGTTTATTTATTTATCTGTTTGTTTATTTAGGAAAATTCTGTGTAAGGCGTGAATTTATTTATTTATTTATTTATTTTAAACTTGGACCGGCACACGAATCAGAGAGTCAGCCAATCAGATGTCCGAAGACTCGGAAACAGGGAGGGAAGTGAAGTAAGGGCGGAAGAGGTTAACATGCGCAGCCAAGGAAAAGGCTCGGTGGGTCCGCCCCCTTGAGTCAAGGAGGAGGCGGGGCTAAATCAGAACACCAATCATATCAGGTCTGCTTCCCGAGCTGACCAATGGGAGTCGGAAGCGTTGGCTAGGTGTGAGGGGCGCGAGGCAGCGAATGGCGGACGCAGTGCTGTTCGAGTTTCTGCACACCGAGATGGTGGCGGAGCTGTGGGCCCCGGACCCGGACCCTGGCTCGGGGGTGAGCGGCACGCCGTGGCCTCGGGGTGGAGAAGTGGGGTGTGGTCGAGCCTTATGGCAGGTCATTGCTGAGGCGGAACGAGATGACTCGGGGCAAGGCGCCCAGTTCCAGGCCTGGTCCTGGGGCGCCGTTGATAATTAGGGTAATTGTCTGTTATTGGGCTCAGATGAGGACTCGCCTCACCACCCACTTAGTGTGCAACTCAACATCTTAATCTTCCTATCCTTCCGTTTCCTCCTTAGAAAATGCACCCTAACCATACCCTGTCCCCTATGTCCCTGCTGCCTGTGTGCTGGGATAAAATGCGTGCTGATCGCGCTACACCCCAGCACACAGTGAGCTTTTTAGTATGGATTTGCCCCAGTAATGAGTAAAGACCCCACCCGGTGATGTGGAAGGTGTCGCTGAGACCACTGAAATATTGTAACCCATAATAGTTCCTCCCACTTATGTGTTCCTTTGTGCCTTCCTGTTCCTGTTCCTCCCGTCCTCCTTCCATTGTCTTCCATCCCATCCCAGGGAGGTCATGAAGAGACAGCTTTGCGCTGAGAAACGTGCTCTAGGAAGAGGGGAGCCTGCTTCCTCTCTGCTGTCACCTTGACTCAATAAAGAGTTTAAAATAGCTTTCTGTGAGCCTACACAGACATGAGCTTGCTGGGAGCTCCCCTTGTAGGTCCTAACTGCTGCCACTGACTGTGCTGGGGGTCCTACAGCCAAGATAATAGAGTTGGTGGGCGTGGGACTTGAGCATCAGGTCTCAGAGTGACTATAGGCTACATGGCAGTTTGAACTCTCATGACTTCGTTCGAGCTCAAGACCTGTGGTAGAGACTCTCTGCTCTCTCCTAATCCTCTCTGTTCTTCCCTGAGTATCCCCCAACCCAGGTCCAGTAGTTCTTGAAGCAGGTTTTCCCTGTACAGCCCAGGCTGGCTTCTGGTGATCCTCCTGCCTCTGCCTGGAAAGTACTAGGATTACGGGCTCTCCTGTGTCTGGTTTGCATGCTGTGACCCCAGTGTGGTACAGTTGGCCTCTACACCCCAAAGTGCTGCATGCCCGGAGTCAGGATCTCTCGTTTATACACTGTTCTACTCCCAAGCCCACCATCCTGCTGCCTGCACTTCCCAAGGGCTGGAATTGGAGGCAGAGATGTCTTTTTTTAGTTCATTACATCTTTAATGATTATTTACTAACTCTTAAATTTTTTCCTAAACAGTATGGTATAACTATATAGTAATTACATTGTATTAGCATTATAATCATCTAGAAAGGATTTATAGTCTATAAGAAAGCTAGGATTTGGCTTAGCAGTGAAGCCCCTGCCTAGAATCCCCCAGAAAGGGGCTGGGGGCGTGGCTCAGTGGAATAGCACCTGCTTAGAATCTCACAGTGATAAGCTAGGTTTGTCCTTAACAAAATAAAACAAGATCTGTGGGAGAATGTGTGTGGGCTATATGCAAACATTCCATTTCATAAAAGGACTTTTGCAATTTTTCCTGTAGAGGTCAAGAGCAGGGCCCTAGAACAATGCCTGAGGCAAACGACTTGTCTTGGTTTTTTCAGGACTGGGGATTTGGAAGCTGCACAGGCCCCGAGGAGATCAAAACCAAAAGCTCAGCCCCTCACCTCCAGAATTTGTTCCTGGGTAGGGGCCTGCCTGACCCAACTGATCTTTGCTTTTTACTGCATGTCACATGACCCAGCATGCTCTCTTTATGTATTGCCTCTGTTTTTCCCACCCAGGATCATGTGACTAGTACGGTCAGCCCTAGAAACGAAGTGACTGGCCCCTCTGGTCTGTTCTTAGGGGCAGTAGGGTCCCTGCTTTGTCTCCTCCAGGAGAATAAGAGACTCAAAATATCCAAGAGCCTTTGAAGGCTTTGCTGTCCCTATGTCGGTGAGATGGCTGGGGTAAGGGCTTCTTCTCCCTGCTGTCCCAGTCTGTTCTTCCCCCTTCCCCCATTCTGTTGTCCCCTCACCCCTGACCCTGCCACTCCAGTCCTTTCAGCTCACCAGATACTTAATTGACCCATGCCCAGGGACAGGCAGAGGGAGGCCAGCACTGACCTCAGCTGTGTCTCTGTCACCATGTGAGAAACCGAGGCCACTGTATCCAGGTCACACATCAGGACATCCACCCCAGGCAGTGTTCAGTCTGTAGAAGGAAACTGAAGCATGCTGATGGCCCTTCTGGCCTCTCTGCTCCCTTGGCTGGGCTGCTGGCCTTCCCTGTATCTACAACCAGGGTGTCTGGGGGCACCGTCTATGGATCTGTCACTCTTGCGGTAAATATTGAATATTAATTGGAGGTTCCAGTAGAAGACACTTTTATATTTGTAATAAGCCTTAATCAGCACTAGAGCTGGAGCTCCCCTCTGGCAACAGAGCTTCTGAGAACATTCGGAAAGCTTGAGCCGCAGAGAGTTGGACTTTCCTCGTTTGTCACTATAGGCAACATGGATACAGGTTTGTTCCTCTGTGGTAGAGCCAGTGTGGACTCTGAGGAAAGCAGTGGCCCCCAGGGACCCGAGGCTCGCTCACCACCCACCAGTTCTAGGTTCTAGAGCCTGGGAACACAGCCATCTCTTTTCTGGGGTTCTTTCTCCAGCTAATGGTGTCACATTGGCCAGGGGCTGTCACCTCCTCTGATGGACACAGATGCTGTGCAGGGTGTCGCAATAAGACAGATGGATTTGTGGCTTGAATTCCCCCGAGGATCCCAAGAGACAGTTACTAGGGCTGCCTTCCTTTTGCACACAAAGAAACTAAGACGCAGACTTTCAGTAACACCGCATCTTCCTGATGGACTCCCTCCATGTGGGAAGTATCAGGGTGTATCTCAACCCAGGCACTCAGAACACCAGATACCAGATAACACCAGCACAAAGCGACTGATTCAACAAAGGGCTCCCAGGTGCTGCCCTGCAAGTCATGATGGGGCGTGAGTGTGTGTGTGTGTGTGTGTGTGTGCACACGTGTGTGTGTGTGCACGCGTGCACGCGCAAACATGCGCTTGCTCGTGTGCAGGCACCTGTGTCTGTCTTCCATCAAAGCCAGCCCTTTTCTCCTCGCTTATGCTGGAGGAAGCTTGCACAGCCCGCCTCACCATCTTCCTAGAGGAAGCCTCGAGAAGCCTGGCACCTCAGTGAAGTGACTTTAACTACATTCATTTATTTTGTAGGGAATGGACCACAGCATGAATGTGAAGGTCAGAGGCAACTTGTTGTTGAGACAGGGTCTCTCTGTGTAGCCCTGGCTGTCCTGGAACTCACTCTGTAGACCAGGCTGGCCTCGAACTCAGAGCCACGTTCTCTGCCTCCCGGGTGCTGGAATTAAAGGCGTGTGCCACCACACGTGGCCAGAGGACTACTTCTGGTGGTCACTTCTACCATGTGAGACTCCAGAATGCAACTTGGGTCCTCAGGCTTAGAAGCATCTTTACCACTGAGCCATTTTGCTGGCTTGCTTTGATTTTTATTTTTTGTTTTATTTATTTATTTTATTTTTTTGAGACAAAGTTTCTGTATTTTGAAGTTCAAGCTGTCCTGGAACTCACTATGTAGACCAAGCTGGCCTTAAAGTCACAGATATCCACCTGCCTCTGCCTCCAGAGTGCTGGGGTGACTCAATATGTAGGTCCAGCTGGCCTCGAGTTTATAATTGTTCTACCTCAACCTCCCACACGCTACGCTCAGAGACCTGTACCACTGTGCCTGGCTGACAGCTTGATCTGAAATGTAGATGGCTTTCACCCAGGCTGCCTCCCCTGAGCTGACATTTCGTTTGAACGTGGTGCTGGGGTTGGACTGGACACAAGTTCAGGCTTACTAGGTGAATACCTTACCAGTGAGCCATGCCCCCAGCCCTTTTCTGTAAGTCTGTGAGACAGAACCCAGGCTGGCTTCAGCTCACCCTGGCTGAGGATGACCGCATGCCCCTGGTCCACCCACCTCCGACTCCCAGATGTTGGGAACATAGGGATAGGGATAGCCTATAGTCTTGTATTTTTTTTTTTTTTAAGATAGGTTTTGGCCTTGTTACCCATGCTGGGCACAAATACACTCTGTATTCAGGTACACGTGACCTTCCTGCCTCAGCCTCCCAGAGAGCAGAAGTGACAGGTGATAGGTCCGCAGTGGCACCAGGCAGCTTCTTAACCCTTCTGAAGCCCAGCTGGCCTTAGTTGTCCACCCATCCCCCTGCCCTCCAGTCCCCCCCCCATCCCCTACCCCCACCAGGCTGAAGGCAAGCAGCATTCCTGCGAGCATCTGCAGCAGTGTCCCTGCTCAGCCCCAGTCTCCCTACGTCTCTGGTTGGGTGCTTGCGCTGGCCCCTGATGGCCTAGGTGAACTTGGCAGCTAGGCTCCAGCCTCAGAGACAGCATGGGGTTGGGGCAGGCAAGAGGAACTGGGCTCAGGGACTCAGCCTGGGCAGGGGGCCAGCACTGCTTCCAGGGATCTGATGGAAGGATCTGGAAGCCGAGCTTCCCTGGAATTGAGCACTGGGGAAGAAACCTGTGCGGTGTCCTCCAGCACCTCCCTTTCTCCGCCTTCTAGGGAAAGAAGAGGAGTCTGTCAGTCCTGGAGGGCCTGGGCTTCCGCGTGGGCCAGGCTCTGGGTGAGAGGTGAGAGCCAGCCCCACCTGCCTCCTTCTGCTGCTTGGGAGGGTGGGCAGACCCGAAGTTGGGGTTCCTGCTGACAAGACCTGGGGTGGGGAAGATTTCACGGGCCCACGCATGTACCGTGTGGGCCAGACTTTGTTCCACACCCTCATGCAGGCTGCCCCGGGAGACACCGGCCTTTAGGGAGGAGCTAGATGCCCTCAAGTTCCTATGCAAAGATCTGTGGGCGGCCATGTTCCAGAAGCACATGGATGGACTCCGCACCAACCATCAGGTGGGTGTGTGAGCCCAGCGCCGGCACCTGGCTTCCAGGTCAGGGGCAGTGGAAACTCCACAAGGGCCCACTGGGGACGGAGGAGGCAAGAACTCTTAGCCGGCCATTACCACCTGCCCCTTCCCCTTGGAACCCCTAAGGGAGGCCAGGACTGCAGTGAGGGGACAGGGCCATTTCTTCAACTTCAACCTCAGGAGTGATCCCTACACAGTGAGCTAGTGGCCTCGACATGATGGTTCTTGTCCCAGGCAAGTAGTCCCCACTGAGTACCCACGCTACGCTCATCCCCCCACCCCCTCACCCCCGCCACCACATCAAGGGCCAGAGAGTCAGCTTCTCCCAGCACCCTTGCAAGACAGGGACTGCTTCCTAATGCCACATGGCCAGACAACGTATCCCACATGCCTCCCAAGGATTGAATGCTGGGTTTGTGGGGATATGCGGTCCTTCCCCACTGCTGTCAATACCCAGGCCGCAGGCTCTTTTCTGTTGCCAGGGGACCTATGTGCTGCAGGACAACAGCTTCCCCCTTCTCATCGCCATGGGCTCAGGGCCACAGTATCTAGAGGAAGCCCCCAAGGTATTGGGTGAGGGACAGGACATGCCCATCTGCCCACCCTGCTAAGGCCTCTCCTGGGGCTTGGGCCTGGCCTCCCCTTTTCCCACACTGTTCTGTCCCCCACCCCCACCCCAGTTCCTGGCCTTCACCTGCGGCCTTCTGTGCGGCGCCCTCCATACGCTAGGCTTCCAGAGCCTGGTCACCGCCTCCGTGGCTTCCCTGCCAGCCTGTAAGTCACTGGGGGATGGGTGCTTTGCTTCCCTTAAACGTGGTGTAGACCTTGGGGCTTCGGCATCCTCGGTCCCTCATCAGTGCGGGGAAGGGGAAGCAGATTACCAAACTGTATGTGACGTGGAATTTGAGGCCCGGAGACAGGTAACATGAATGGAATCATATGCCCAGCTGTGTCCCTGGGGTGCCTCTAAGAGAAGACGCTGGCACAGGACCCAGTGGGACATCTCATACCCTGGCCAGTCCCAGTGGCTCTGAATGGTGGACTTGACCCCTGTCTGCTATTATCTTGACCCCATGGGGCACTGCTGGACATGGACGACTCCTCCTGACCCCCCCACACACATACACACACAGCTGTCACCCCTCCCTGCCACTGTGAGGACCTGGGCTCAATGAACAGGACATGTCAGGAGCTCAGACTAGCCCTCCTGCCTCTCCCCTGTGGTCTGGAATGTGGGCCAATTGGGTGGGGCGGTACCCCTGTAACCCACTCACTGCCAGGGCCACCCAGGCTGTTGGTGTGGAATGGAGTGAACAGCTAGTCCACTCACAGCTTTCTGTCTTGGCCCTTCTGTTCCAGGTAAGTTCCAGGTGGTGATCCAGAAGTCCTGAGGACCCCAGGCTTGCCCTGCCCCAACCTCAGCCTCAGAATGTGGCCCCTGGCCCTGCCACAGTGCTCATCTTCATAGGAGGCCTTGAAGCTGAACTTGCAGGCTCTGGGGAGATCACATGTGCTTCAGACAAGGGAATGAAAGGACCAGGAGGGTCCCAGGAGGTGGGACCATCCCATGAGTTCAAAGCTGGCATGGAGGGACATTAGGGCATCACCCAGATGGCAGATGTTCAATAAAGGGTCTTTATGTGGAGACAGACCTGTGCAGTGGCTTATCACATAGCCCTCCGCACCCACACCCTCCCTGTGAGCTCTAGGCAAACCTGGCCCGGCTCACAGACTCTGCCAAACAAGTCTGGAGCTGCCCCCAGCCCAGCACGTCATATCCTGCCACCTCGTTCTGATTGTATTTGTAGCATCTGGGGCTTAAGGCTGGATCCTGCTGCCCGCTGCTGGATAAGCAGGTATCCAGGCCCAGGGGCTGCAAACTGAGGTGGCTGAGAAGTAACAGGGGCTGCTGGCTCTTCTGTTAATTGTGTGTGTGAGAGTGTGAGTGTGTGTGTATGTGTGTATGTCTGTGTGTGTGTGTGTGTGTGTGTGAGAGAGAGAGAGAGAGAGAGTGAGAGAGAGAGAGATTTGTGAGTGTGTGTGTGTGTGTGTGCCGAATCCAGCCCTCTGCAAGAGCAGTTAGCATTATTAACTACTGAGCCACCACTCCAGTTCACCACCCCTTAAGACAAGGCCTCTCAGGGTGGGACAGATGTGTCAGAAGTTAAGAGTCTTTGTTGCTCTTGCTGAGGACCCAGGTTCGATTCCTGTCACCTACATGGTGGCTCACAAGCACCCATAACTCCAGTTCCAGAGTATCCGATGCCGTGTTCTGACCTCACATCAACGCAAGCAGAACATTCATACACACGAAATGTGGCAGAAAGAGCAGCTCTCATGTAGCTCGGGTGGCCTCGAACTCATAAATGGCCCTCCTGCCTCAGCCTCCCAAGTGATGACAGGTGTGTGCCACAGGCTCAGCTGGGTCCCTGTGAGTAGGGCATCCACTGGGGAGTGTGGTCCAGATGCCATGTTCCTTAGCCTGCCCCTCCTCAGTTTCCCACAACTAAACTCTTTGTCCCTCAATTTGCGTAGTGACCCCTGCCTGGTTAGCTCCACCCTAGGCCCCTCTCAGGACCCAGCAGCCTGGGATCTCTGCACAACCTTGTGAGCAGGAGCTGGTTCACCTCTAGGTACAATCCCTGTCTCCCAGGGGACAGTCCCTAAAGAAGGGGCTTGCATCTTCTCACTGAGCTCTTTCCTGCCTGACATTACGGATTCACACGAGAAGAGAGGTCACAGACCGGCTTAGCATCCGTTTTGGCAGAGGTATACTTGGCTGTTGTGTGAGACATTCTGAAAAAGAAAAGAAGGGGCTTGAAGGACAGCTAGCAGAAAGGAAACTTCACAGTAGGAGAAAGGTAGCCAGGCCCTGACAGCAGGACCCACCTCCACCTCCACCCCCACCCCAGCTGATTCGAGTTCTACAGTATAGTGTTCCTTTGCCCAGGACCACCTCTGTCCTATTAGACACAGGGCAGGGCCCCCGAAGTCACTGCCTGCTCTCCCCACTCTGTGTGGTCTGGGGCAAGGAAGGGACTTTGTGTCTCTGGGCCTCAGTTTTCTCATCTGTGAAGTGGACACTACCACAGCCCTGTGGGTTGTGGCGATAAAGCGGGCTACTAAGTGGCCAGGCTCAGAAGCCTCTCCGGGTATGTGCTGTTGCCAGGGTACTATGTGAGGTTCCCACAGCAGCACCTGGTAAATGGGTCAGCTGGTGCTGTACCGAAGGACCAGCCCCAGGCTGGGCGGGACTCGTCTGTTTGACAACTTCAAAAAGCAGGTGCCAGCCTGGCCTATTCAGCAATGAGGAAGCCGAGGCCCAGAGAGATGAAGTCACTGACCCACAGTCACACAGCTGGGCCACAGAGGAACTAGCAGACCGTGTCTATTTGAGATTCATTCTGCCTCCTTCCTAACCCGAAGAGGTGCCCAGAAACCTGGTGTGAGGGTTGCTGTGGACTCTCCACCTCTCCTGGGTTCATCCTGTCAGGGGCATCCAGTCCTAGAGAGCAGCAGATCGGGCACCTGCCCAAAGGGCGGGGACACACGCAGGAGAACCGGCCGAGCGGGCGCCACTGGGCTCCAGCCAGGCCTGCGCGGGGCCACGGGCAGAGAGCTGGGGCCGCGGGGCCACCACCAGGTAGGTACTGAGAGCTCAGGCTGGGATGGGCGCGGGGCTGGGGGGTAGGGCGGTGTGTGGTGGCAAGTGAGGCCACTGGCCTGGCCCCCAACCCTAATCACCCAGATTCTCATCGTCCTGGGCCGGACAGCATCTCTCTCAGCTCAGCTTTGATTCATTCTCTGAACCTGTAACACGCGCTGCCCCCCAGAGGCTGCCTGTGACACCGCAGAAGGCTTCCCAGACGCCCCTTCTCTCAACTCCTTGTTTAGCCCCCACGTTTTGTTTGTTTGCTTGCTCGTTTATGCTTTTGCTTTGTGAAAGTCTCACTATGTGGCTCTTTCAAGCCTCTCACTCCCAGAGGTCCCCCTGCCTCTGTCTCCTGAGTGCTGGGATTAAAGACATGTGCCACCGTGTTGGGCAGTTCCCAACTCTTAGACTCCAGTGTAGCTCAGCTCGGTGGTTTCCCAGGTCAGGCTGCCTCAGCCTCCTCTAGTCCTCCCCGCTCAGCCCCACAGTAACCCCCGGCCATCTGGCCGCTGTCTTTCATGTGACCATGCCACTTCTCGATTCTGTGCTCACTCCAGTGACCCAGAGGAAACCCTCTCTCCCCATCTTCACTGTGCCTTTTGCCTGTCCAAGGTCATGGGGGCCATCTTAGAACCAGGGAGCCAGGGGTCCAACCAACCTGAACACTGACCCTTCTATGTAGGACCGGGCCACTGAAGTCACGGCCCGCCATGCAGAAAAACTACAATGTGCACTTCACCAAGAATGCCCGGACCCCCAATGAACGATACTTTTTGGATCCTGAGTTGGGGCACCAAAAAGGTAAGAGTTCACTTTTGAGGGGGTGGGTTGTGGCAGGAGAGGCAGGTAGGGGTGGTTGGGTGCTGAATTTATGCACAAGGGAAGAAACAGGGTCCAGGGAGAAAAGCCACAACGGGGTCCAGGTTGTGGTGGGAGGAGTTTTGCAAGTTCCAGGCTAGCCTGGGCTACAGAGTGAGACTGACTGGTCTTACTGAAAAGGGCTAAGACAGAGTCGTGTCTGTAGCACAGGCTGGCCTTGACCTAGGTTCAAACACTCCTCCTGCCTCAGCCTCCCTCGAACCTGAGACAACAGGTGTATACCACCTTGCTTGTCTCCTGTAGAGTTCAAAGGTTGAGTGTTCCCCAGGGGTGGGGGCAGGGGAGTCCTGTCTGCAAATCTCCATGATGGGGGGCAGCCTAAAGGGAAGCCATGTGGTAGGGGAAGGGAGGATAGCAGGGAGGGCCTCTGAGTCCGTGTGAGTTGGTGACTCAGGTTCCCACAACAACCAAGGCAAGTGAAGAAGGGACGGTGACTTCCCATTACGGCTGTCACAGACTCCTGGGGTCTGGCAGTTCAAGGTCCCCCTCCCTTCTCAGCTCTTGGCCTGTCCCTCCCTCCTCCATGGTCACCACACTGGCCACTTCTGACTAGCCAGGCTCTCAACCACCCTCACCCTGAGACTTTGCAGTGGGGTACCCCTTGGGATACAGGAAATTAGTCTCAGGATTTGGGGTGCCAAGATGCACAGATACCTGGTGGTGTCCTCTCTCTGTGCTCCCTGGAAAGCACAGACCCTGTGTGTCATGACTCTGCCTTTGACCACTTGTCATTTCTGGGGCCCCTGGGGCTCCCACGGATGCTCCAGTCCAGCCTCATCAAACAGCACAATCTGCTTCAAGCCAGTGTCCCCAGGGGGACCGGGACTCAGTCCCAGTCACCCCCACTTCCTTCCTTCCAGGATGCTGCCGTCAGTGGTACCAGGACCCAGTGGCCACTCACACCCATGGGCCCTATCAGCTGTCCCCCCAGGCTCACTGGCAGCAGACCTACCGCAGCCACCGAGGTGGCAGCGGCTGTCGCCGGTGTCCCCAGCCCCTCATTCTGCAGCGACAGCAGCGGCAGCAGCAGCGACAACCCCCACCCCATCCTCCTGGCCCGCTGCGGCAGCGGCTCTGTCCAGTTCACGGGTCCCAGAAGGGGTCACCCGCGATCGCCGCTGCCCGCATGGGACCAGCCAGCGCCCCGCAGCCTGCCACCTCCTCACCCAGAGCAGTATCAGCTATGGCCAGCAGCGGCCCAGCCCTGCCCTCTGCAGCCGGCGCCCTCCTGGAGCCCAGCGAGCCCACCGAGGCGCGGCCCCTGCCTGCGCCCGCAGCCTGCGGCTCCTTCACCTCCTACGGCGCCGGTGCTCAGCCCAGGCCTTCCTTCTGGGGCTGCGTCCCTGTCTGCCTTGCTTCTGCCTGGGTCTTCTGCTCCCTGGCTGGCACTTTGGGCCTGTCCTCACTCTACACACACTCTGGTCCCTGTCAGGAGGGTGCTCATCCCAACTCCTGGGTCTCTGCCTCAACTATTGGGGTCCCTGACTTCCAGGCCAGGCCTGTGTTCAGTGCCTCTGCCCTGTCCCTTGGCTGGTATCCTGCCTTTGCTGTCTCTCTTCTTAGGCCTCTGTTCACTGGCCCACAAGGCCAGGAGGACAAGGGGCAGGGGGTGATGAGGACCTGGGGCAGCTTGTTGGCCAGCTCTGGTGCTGGGGGAGTTGCGGGGGATGACACAGGTCGAGAGTAGAGGTTAAAGAAGAGGCAGGGGCTGTGTGGGGGAGGGGAGAGCACTCAGGGACAGGGGAGCTGTGGTCACTTGATATGGCGCACCATAGGAAGACAGCTCAGTGAGGAGTTGTAGGATCTCTAGGTGACAACCAGACTGAGGAGAGAGAAGACAGGCAGGAAAGGGGGCCCTGGGCTTGAAATGGGGTCTTCATATCAGACCTTTCAGGGTACAACTCAGATGCCAGGTCGTATTAGGCACAGGCACAGCCAAGGAGAGACAAGCATAGGCTTGGGGTGTCACTCAGAGAAAGGGGCCAGGAGTCCGTCAAGAGGAGGGAGGGGCTGGCAGCCTGACCAGGTTCCGGAGTCGTAGAGGAGTCGAGGACACACAGGTGCAGCTGGTAATTCATGAGGACTCACCGCACAGTTGGGCATGGTGCCCGGGG